TTTGTTTACATCCAGCATCCTTGAAGACCGTCAATAACAATCTGCTTCTACCTGCTGAGTCACACATTGGTCACATCAGCTCGACAACTCTACAACTAAACCTTTAACTCAACTGTTCATTGCTGTCAAGGACAAAAAAAAAAAACAAAGGCAGAACTTGTTGTCACATTTACATTTTGGCTCCGTTCACACCTCGTTTGGAAACCTTGTCTTTGTAATGACATTTTAACCACCACCGTGTGCTGTTACATCTGGTATTAATAATAATAGTTTCTGCTTTCTTTGGCTCTATTTATTTTATTTCTTTTTAACCAAGGTTAGGCAATCTTTCATTAGAATTTGGCCACACTCTACATATCAAGTTCACAATGATTTGTCCATTCAATCTAGTTGTACTGGTGTGTTTGAAATGTTTAACGCTTTTGCTCATGAATCAATGATCTGGTGATTACACTCACATGGTGCCGGATGGCTAAAATGTTATCATGACCTTACAGTGAGGCTACCTTTAAACACTCACAATCTTAGTGTATTGCAGTTTCTGTCCACATTTATATCATTTTCTTTTCACTTAACTCGATCCAGGGATCACTTCTACTTGTGCTGTTCTCAGGTTAAAGTCCAGAATGACTTCAGTGACGAGATGTTCACCAGTACGTGGCACTATGCCAAGGACATCGTCAACAGACAGACGGTGACTGGGACCACGTCAGGATATCACAACTATGACTTTCATGAGTCACATGACAAGAATCAGGTGTGTAGAAAGCTTTCAGAAAAAAACCCCAAAACAAAACATTGAAAGCAGAAAATTGCAGTTATTTCAATGATGAAATGATTCCCTCTTCCCTACAGAGCCACAAGCTTTTGGTTTTAAAGAACGACATAGAGTTAGTGCAGTTCCAGAGTAACTCTCCTCAGTACCTCCCAATATCTGAGGAGCTGTGGAAGGCACTGGCCAAGCTCCCATCTGTCTACGACTACGCTGCCTACAGGAAGGTTTTGCAAAAGTTTGGAACGCACTACCTGTCTGAGGGAAGCCTTGGAGGGTCCTTTAAAGCCATTATATCAGTTGATGAAGAAGCAGAGAGATATATGGGTAAGGTTTCAGAAATCATTAACAGTTCATTATCGGACACATAGATGAACTGGCCACTGTGAGACTCAGTGTGTGTCAGGTCCAGATGCCTTGTAGTTCATGTTTTAAGATGCTGAACAAAAAGCCATTCTGTCTTCCTAAATAACATTCTTCATCTTTCTATGTGGAGTCTGCATGTTCTCCCCGTGCAGCGTGGGTTCTCTCCGGGTTCTCCGGCTTCCTCCCACACAGTCAAAAAACATGTTGAGGTTAATTGGTGATTCTAAATTGTCCGTAGGTGTGAATGTGAGTGTGCTTGGTTGTCTGTCTCTAAGTGTAGCCCTGTGATAGACTGGTGACCTGTCCAGGGTGTCTGAGTCAGCTGGGATAGACTCCAGGCCCCCATGACCTTAGTGAGGATTAATCTGTGTATAGATAATGGATGGATGGATATTAGGAAGACATTTAAACTAATGTATGTTAGTGAACAGTGCATATGAAAACTACCAAATTAATTTCAATCTCTGAAATGTATTTCAGAAAACAAATACCTGATTTACTTCTGCATTTGTGAAATCTATTTGAGCAGCTACAACTAATTTCAATTCATTTAAAGCAAAGTTTTCATCAATTTTTTTCATGTGTCTAGAAATGAAAAGTGTATTAAAATTCATAAATGTTAAATACGCAGCTATAGATGTTCTCAGTAAGTCAATTAGACTGTAGATGCTGTCGTTAGATGTGACTGTATCGGCAGGTTTCTCATAGTAACCAAAACATCAGGCTAATGAGTAGAAAAAGATCCATAAAGCTTAACCTAAACGCTACCATTTGTTTCAAGCTCTGAATTTTGTTTTTTCTTTGTTTTGCAGTCTCTGAACGCTCACAGCATAATGAGTGTACCAGGACCGTACACCGGATTCTTTTTTTTATAAAGTTTACAACGGAGCACTGCGACAGTGGTCAAAGTCAACGCTCATCATCCTCAGGTACAAACTGGATGTTTATTCTACATATAAGTGCTTATAAAACCAGGGATGTTATCGGTACGATATTGGCATAGAAATGTAATATCTGTCAATGTTGTCATCGTGTTTTTTTGTTGTTTTTTTTTTGCCTATAATGAAAACCGATAAAATAATGCCTGGATTTCACCGACATTTACCGGCACGCAAATGATGATGACAGGAGATATGTGATGTCACCTGAAATTAGTTAAATAGCCCACATGTATCATTGGTATTTGTATCGATTGATATCGGAATCAGAATATATCAGCATATCAGATATTGGTAATAAAGCCAATATCGGACATCCCTGTATAAAACTAAATGTTTGTGACTTGTATCATATCTTTAAACCTGTTTTAAAAAAAAAAAAAAAAAAACAGGAAGCAGTGGGCGCAAAGCACTGAATAAAGTGGATGTTGAAGGAGGCGGCATCTCACATATCGCAGCGCTGAAAGCCATACAGCTCGACAACCCAGAAAAGAACTGGCGGATGTATTCAAACTGGGCCGAGTCTATTGGATCATATCCACAGGTCACAAAGCAGAAGGTGAAGGAGAAGTAAAACAACTTCAAAAGCACAAACATCGTGTTGCTTTAAGCGCATTTCATTGTCATTTTATGAAGTCCTCAGTTCAACTCTTTAACTCCAGCTGTTGCTTTTTGCAGCTGCGGCCGCTGTCCGAGCTGGTGAAGGAGGTCCAGTGCGCCGGGCTGAAGAGGATCTACCTTCGCAGGGCCATAGAGCAGTACCTCGCCGAGAGCGATACGTGTCACTGCCAGCCCTGCAGAAACAACGGCCTGGCTGTCATGGATGGAGATACATGCAAATGCATCTGCAAGCCTCTCACGTCGGGGCTGGCCTGTGAGCAGGGAACTGAAGCGGAAGGTCAACCGGGTGGGTGTCGACTTTCACGCAGGTTCTTCAACTTCTGCAGTCAGTCAAGCTCACTAATTAAAATGCTACATCTGGTTTGTATAATCTGCATAAAACAAAGTCTATACATGGCACATTGCAGAATAATTCTGAACCAGAGTGAGGCTGCCAGGCCACAAGAGGAGAATCCACTGAGTCACCCAACCAAGAACATTTTCCATTTCTACATATAAGCTGTATATACAATATGTGAACTTTTAGGCTTCAGAGCTTCTGGTTGGCGGATGATGTTTCTTTTATACAGAGCCACACCTCATTTTCAGGTTTTGTGCTAAGCTAAAGTGGCTCTCTGTTGGCTTTGATGTCACATTGGCTTCTCTGAGATTGGTATATAACTTTTAGCATGAAAAAAAAGTAAGAACATGATAAATTATCCTCAGGTTTGGGGTGTTATCTTTCCTATATTCCTTGGTTCTTTTCTGTTTCTGCTCTTTAAGGGGTGATCCACGGCAGCTGGGCCTGCTGGTCAGCCTGGTCATCGTGCTCCGGAGGTCGGAGGTCACGAAGTCGGTCCTGTTCCAATCCCTCCCCTCAGAATGGCGGACAGTCCTGCGTCGGAGAATCCGCCGAGACGTCGGAGTGTGAAGATCAAGAGCTGCAATACTTAAAGTCAGAGCGAGCCGAAGTTTAATTGTGCCGCTTGCAACATTTAGGCACCGCCGGTCTTTGCATTGAATTTTCTGTGAGAGGAAGTTTCATGCTGACTTTCATCAATATGCAGTTATACAACACATTATTTTGAACAATTTTTCCACAGAACCATGGAGCCTCAGTGTTTTGATCACACTCTCTCGGCAAGTCAGAGGTGTGGAACCCCTCCGGCTCTGATCAATGGCTACATCCTGGTAAAAAAAATGAAACCATGCAGGGAATTTGCTGTATTGGATGTTGTCTTTCTGTAAACATATGTCATTATGTCTACTTTTCAACAGTGTCACTCCTCATATAATTTAGTTAGACTTCATATCAATAAGCTACGAGTTTTTATTATGGAAAAACTATGTGATTTGATGAGCCTCATACTGTAGCCTTTAAAGCACATTTCCTATATTTAGAAGAAATATGCCTCAATGGCACTGAGCTACATTCTGTGTCTTAATCTCAAATCGTTTAAACAGATGCACACAAATCAAAACTGTAAAATGGAACCTCATCCTCTTTTGATCACCTCACAGGACCCTAAAGACGTCTACCTCGTGGGTAGCACAGCTCAGTACACCTGCACTGACGGTTTAAACCTTGTCGGGGCGAGCATCCTGACATGCACTGCGGATCAAACCTGGTCTGGTGGCCCTGGGCGTTGCACAAGTGAGCACACATAACCAAAATGTAACGTATGTTGTAATGACAGTGAATTGCAGCGTCACTCTGTTAAACCTTCTCTGCAGCTTCGGCTTGCAGCCTCGATTCCCTCCCGTCTGATGTCATAGCCACGCCTTCGAAAAAGGTCATTGGCATCGGGGATTCGGTTACCTTGTCCTGTCCAGAAGGCAGTCAGCTAGTGGGAGAAGCAACAATTATTTGTAACCCCAGTCTGCTTTTTTCACCAAACCCAGCAGACATCAGGTGCAGTCAAGGTAAACTACTACTACTTCATATAAATAGTCTATTGGATGTTATGGGGTTGCTTTGTAGGATGTGACAGCAGTAAGATGTTTTCATTTATTGTCATTCGTCACTGCTCAACACCAGTAAACAACCTGAAGACTGATTTCTATGTATCCCACAGTGACAACACCAGCACCTCAGCGCGTTGCTCCCTTAGTGCAATGCAAACTCTGGGAGAAGTCTGTCAAAGGAAAATGTGTTTGCAAAATGCCTTTTGAGTGCAGGTATGTTTCCTCTGCTGATCAGTGATTCAGTCATATGAGCTCTTGCAAAACAAAACAAAAAACCTGCGTGAATTAATTAGGGTCCGAGCACCCAAAAGGGTGCGAAGACCCTATTGGAACTGCTCGGATCATTATTATTATTATTC